TTAAGGCCACGTGAAAGAGAAGGGATGAGGGGCCAAAGAGACGCAATGGCTCTCCGTCCTCGTGAAGAAGTTTGCAGCTACAGAACAAGTTGGTCGGTCTGTGAGTCTGATGCCGGGCAATTGGGCAGTTGGGCAGTTGGGCGTAGGGAAAAGGAGATAAGATTTTTGGCAAAAGTGGGTCTTGAACACCGCCGGTTGGTGCCCGGTGTTGAGACCAAGAGGGAGTCCTGCGAAATTCAGCTTGCAGGTCTGTGGGCCAACTCATTCGTCCATCCCTACATGCCTCTGCGTTTGTATGTATGCATGTGTGTGCGTGTGTGTGTGTGTGTGTATGCGTCAATATAACTGTCCAGGTTACGTCCCAGCTGGTAAGGCTGTCGGTCGGAGGTCGGAGTTGTCAGCGCTGGCAACATGACTCGGGCTCGGGGGTTCGCGCAAGGGGTTTGGGACGTGAACCATGAGGTGTGACGAGTGACGAGTGACGAGTGGCGAGTCAAGCGTGACGGTGCCGGGCGCTCGATTGGCCCGACAAGAGCTGCCATCCGCCTCATGTCCGTGGGAAGTGCGCCTAAACCGGCCTTTGTGCCTACCCGCCTGGAGCCGCGTGGTTGATCCGCGCGTCGGCGGTTCCGGCCTCCGGTGCCGCGGCAGCCCGAGCGGGACTCGAGGCCAGGCGGGACACGGCAGCCGCGGTCAATTGGGATTCGTCCCTGGCGGCCGCCGGCACGGACAAGCGATCGTGTGTCTCAGCAATGTACACCCGACAGCCGTCCGCCTCATGTCAGGCTTCCAGCAAAAACTGTCAGCAAGTGTGTGACTGTTGGACCGGGCCTGTGTCCACATGCTGTCGCGGTCCACGGGCCAGAGAGTGTACATGATGCGCCGAGCGGAGCTGGTCAGGCGGCTGCAGGCATCAGCACAGATTGTCAACCTCTTCTCCCTCGCGGGGCAACTGCCTGCGCATCACCATGTGCTGGTGCTGTGTGTGTATGTGTGTGCTGTTGTCTGTATGCGCAAGTGGATGGTACCAATAAACTGCACAGCCAGAGTGTATGGTCGTTTGCCGGTTGCCCAGAGTGACGCGGAGGAATGCGGATTCCCGCCCGAAAAATCCGACACTGACGAGCAGGGGACGAGTGCGCGACTGCAACGAGCCCCGAGCGGGTCGCCGGGGCCATGGACGTCTCCAAGGCCCAAGCGGCGGTCCTACCGGGATCAACACGTACCGACAGACGTACATCCCATGACGGAAGACTGGATTTCGAAGAATTCAGTAACAATCTGGCGTCACCCGACCCCGCATGGAAGGGCTTTGTGGGTTCATCTCGAGTCTGCACGGGAGACGGTTCGATTTCACTCTCGGTCTTTCGTGTGGATGCGCAACTCCCTTCGGCGAGCTCGAAAGCCCACCAACACTCCAGTCGAGAAGAAGTTTTGTGCAGCCTTCATGCAGGCCCGTCTCTTTCGAGGGAGGTCGGAAGGAGAAAATCGCCATAAGACTCGCTACTCAGGTTCGACTCCTGCTGGCGGCGCAAGGTGGAGGCAAGGCTGAGTGACGTCGAACGACGTCGTGAGGCCTACTCAATTACTCGTGTGAAAAAACTTGACTGCTAGTCCTTAAGTTTATATAGTAAGCTCTAATTAAAGAACTACTTATATCGAAAGTAGTATATCCAATTCTCCAACTCATGCCTCTTTTGTCCTCAAGAGGCTAGAGCAAAACTTGCAAAAAAGTCCACATTTTCCGCAATTTATTTCTTTCCTATCCTATCCTAGCAAGGCCGTAAAGGTTTCTGATTTACAAAAAGCGCAAGATTCAGGAATTAACTTCTCTCGCCAACAAATAAGTCGTGCTGCTCCAGTCATCACACAACCCTCGTCATTCACAATGAATAAATGAAGTCTAGCTTCACTAGAAAGAGGCTAAGCCCCCTCCCATGGGAAATTGTGTTCCTCACGCATTGGTGAAAATAAGTCTATCGGAAGTTGATCCCGAGTTGTACCCGCCGAGCAGAGACGTCCCACAGCCCGACTACAAGAGGGTCACTGGACAGATGAGACCTTCCAAGGCGGGCCAGGCCTCTCGCAAATCGCATTTTGCTGTGCGAATGAGATGCTGAAAAAGACAACCTTGAATCGACGAAATAATGAAATACTGAATGAATGGGTTTTGGAAGTATCAGCAGAGCTTGTATAAAAAAAGAAATTAATGAAATGACTCAGACGTCTTCACCTTAAGCCAGTGGTTCCCAAACTTTTCCTAGTCGCGGCGCCCTTTTTCAATTACAATTTTTCCATGGCGCCCTACCC